TCTGATTCCATATGCAGATGCAGCATAAAATTCCGCAGTCGATGCACTCTCCTTGCTTTTTTTGACGTTTCCTAAGCTATACACGCATCGAAATAATCTATTTTTGGGCAGGGAGGAAAATGGACGTAAGTCGAGCATAATTCCTTTCGAAAGCATTTGTGAGATTTCTAATAAAAATATTCTTAATCAGCGTGACGGATTACCTATAGTTAGATAGATTTGGAAAAAATTAAAAACTATAATTTTTCCCGAGATCCTGTGGGGGACCTCAGGTCCGAAAAACCTAACCGGTCGATTTTGCAAAAATAAGTGTCTGCAAATACTCTTGAGAATCCCTTCATATGGTTTCAATGCAAAAAACACGAAAATGTTTTGGGCCAGAAAAGAGTCTTATCCGCCCTCATCCTTTAGCATGAAAATTAGTGTGCGTGGATCTATCTCAAGTGGCCAACCTGTTTAGGCCTACTATTTGGTATTATTTTGAAGATCTATCTGTCCTCTAACTATCCTGAAAAAAATCAAGATGTGGTATTTTGTTGTTCTCAAAATATTGCTAGATAAATGTTCGAAACTGCTAATTTTTTCTTAATTTTTCGCTAGGATCTAAATCATGGTTTCAATTATAGTCCTATGAGGTAGTCTGTTAACCCCAACTATTTGATGTTGTTTTGAAGGTCTATGTGTGCTCTACCTATAGTGAAAAAAAACTAGGATTCTTAGTGAACATAGGAACAGTGTAGAGGTCTTTTTTGTTTCGGTCACATATAATGAGAAAAAGACAAAAATACTGCATAAGGTGACATCAAAATTATCAACACCAATAATATAAACATGTATAAAAAATAGCATAAAAAAGTTCGCTGTGTTGATATCTATCATCATATATCATTTCTAGAACGAAAAATTTTAAAAAAGTCAGTCGGCCGATTTGTGGTCTTATGCGCCCCCGTCCTTTCTGTTGAATTAATAACAACAGTTCCATCGTGTTTCATGTTTTTAATTCTGCAAGGGATGATAGCAGTTGTTTCTGATGTAAATTCTACGGATGTATATTAATGAAGGAACTTTTCATACCTATTCCATTCTGAAAAATAACGACCCGTGAAAGCAAAAACTTTCTGATTTTGAAAGATTATTGCATATCGGGCATATACTGAGTATACTCTAATACAGCAGACTAGGATTTTTCTTGTATTCGACACCTGAAATGATTCAGGTGCAAGACAGTAGCGTAACATGAACTGAAACTTTGGTCAGGAGTGCGCGTATGACTATAGATACCAAGACATGCCTATTTTTTGTTATATTTTGTGACAATGCGGGAAATAATTTTTTTTATCCATGTGTTTCACAAGCTCTATGTCATTCGCAATAACCTGAAATTGCATGTAAGATGTCTACCGGACAACATTTTTCCTTCATACATGATTTGAATTGCTGGCAGTGAGGAAAATAAAGGAAAGCTTTATTTCGTTAGAATGCACCGTACATTATTTTTGCCTTACCTGATGTTCTGTTTTTCGGTAGAATCAGCGAAAGAAATTTCAATTGTTCGTCATTCTTGGATAAAAGAAAAATAATTTTTTTTGTTACTTTCTGTTTTACTTCACTTCAGTAGGACCTTGAAGGGAGAAAAACAAAATATAAGTAGACAAGTCATGATTGTATTACTACACTGAAAAAAACAGGTACCGTACAAAACCTGATGAGAGTTCTAAGGATGGATGTGGATGTATGTATCTTTCTCGTTCTATACCCACACTCCAAATAATTATAAATTGTCTACTGACTTTTGTTGTTCTTCCTTCAAGGTCGCTGCTAAATTGAAGTTGACAGAAGGAAAGCAAATCATATTTTCTCTTCATCGACGAACAATCGACCATTGAAATCTCTGTCCATTTATTCCAATAAAAAATGTTAGGTGAGAGAAAAAACTGCATGACTTATTGTTATAAAGTAAAGCTTCTCTTCTTTATTTGTTCTCTGGATTTGGATATTTCTAAAACGAGAGATGACAGCATTCGTAGATAGAGTTCTTCGAATTGTCTTCGCAAGCACCCACCAATATCTAAAATAGTTGACAATTAGAAAATTTTTTCCAATATATACCAATTGTTTCACATCATGGGCAGTCGCAAACGTCCAAAAACGTTACTGGAAGATCCATTTCGTTTGTCTATAACTAGATCTACTCCATTTACGCACGTACCCAAAACAACATACACCTAGGATCCTAATTAAGGAAATGACTTTCGGAACTCTGTTATTTATGCTTGCTGTAAGCCAAACGTCTAAAATGAGTGGTATTGATAGATTATAAACAGATGTAATTAGATAGTATAGCGCATAATGAGGTATATGCTATAGAAAATCTATAAGTTTCCTTTTAGAATTTCTTCAAGGTTTATTTAATGTGTAATCATTTCTGACTAAACAAATCAGTGAATGGTTTTCTTTTTTGAAATGAAATACAATCTGTTTGTAAAATTCTGAAAGTCTTCTTAAGGAAAAAAGTTTAGCCTCTAAAAGGTCCGGAGAAGAGATCAAAGATTTTTTAATTCTTTCCATCTTGAAAGAACATTTCTATCACATGCCATAAAAGGTCGTCTGTTGGCCGGAGTGGATGTGACTAGAAGGTTTCCCAAAATAGTCGTGAAAAATTAACACTTCCATTTTTGTGTTAATACGTCTTGTGTCAAATTTCTTAAAATTCTCACTTCTACAACATATCATGAAATGCGTAGAATTAGCAGAGTCCAACTGAGAAAGTTTGCTCGTTTCTGTCGTAGACTGACTCTTGTAATAACCAGACCATTTTTTAAGATTCAGATTGAATACAACTGAACTGTTTAACAAAAGCGGATCAATACAACTACAGACTTACGATTCTTTGTCTTGTTTCTATATTAATAATTTGTCTGCTTTGAATTTATTTGGTAATTTCTATCCAGGCTTAATTTGAGACATGACGACCACCATTAATCTAAAAGAAGCCACTGCAGGAACAACCAATACGGAATATCAAGGTATCCGAGAGGCTTTTCTGAGAAGCATTGGACTTTCGTCGTCGCAACAACTGGATAAATGCTCATTTGTTCTTAATCCTCCATCTCAACATGTCGAGCTCTATGTAGTAAAGGTGGATTCCTCTCAAAGACCCATGCACCTTAAACCAGATCACGCGGGTATTGTAGGTCTTGATGCGCTTGACAATGGTAAATTTGGGATCGAAATTTACGCCGCTTCGACAAATCCCCGGAAACTTCTTCATAAATTTACTATTACTAAGGACTCTAACGGCGTAAGTGTTCATAATGTCGACACCAATGCAACGGTAGTGGCAGCTAAATTCAGTAAAGCTGATGAACCCTTTGTAGGAGCCGTAGTATTGGGTCAGTTTATTGATCGTTCTGGAGAAATGTGCAATATTCAGGGTAAAACTGATGGTAATGGTGCATTTCAAATTGTGTTACCTGAAGGAACAATGAAGAGCTTAGTAGCTAAATCAAAGGAAGGAATTGAGATTCCGAAACGCGGAGTCATTGTCGTGCCGAATCCATCTTCATGTCCACCATCGGAGTTGAAAGGACTTATATCTCCGTCACACATTACAAATACGTCTTGTGCGTCTGGAAACTTGCGCATAGCTTCTTCGATCGCAAAGCGCATATCATTGCCACCCCGAGCCATTCTGGATGATATCCAGGATATAGCAGCGGTCCGTTGTATATCCGTTGTAATATAGAAATCACAACACCATTCCACCCAAGAATCCCATGAAGCAAAAGCAACTGGTTTATTTTTTCCTTTGCAATCTTCCAGCATTTTCAAGAAAGATTTTTTCAAAATGTCCATCTTAGACCCTCCCATGGAAGCAGATACATCTCCAAGAACTACCACTCTAGCATCGTTTGAAGAATTATTTAGT